TTCAGCTCAGCTTTAAACATGTTAAATTTGAAGTACTTGAAGATGACTTCCAAGTAGAAATGACAAGAGAAGCTTGGCTGTACCAAACTTGAATTAGAAGAGATCTGGGCTGGAGATAAAAATGGATGTATGCAACAGTATCAATGGTATTTCCGTGAGCTGCATGAAATAATTTCACGAATGATTGTGGTTAGAGGAGAAGTCTCAGGCTGAACTCCAGCACTGGCAAGATAAGGAAGAATCAGCAAAGGAAATGAGGGACAGCTAGATAAAGAGCAATAGACACAGGAGCAGGAAGTACTGGAAGTCAGCTGAAGCAGACCTTTCTGCAAGGAGAGTTAACAGAGTCCAACATAACTAACCTGAGAACTGACCATCATATTTGGCAATAGGAAGGTGAATGGTTTTTGGAATAGTGGGATAAAGTCCTGATTGAATTAGGTTCAAGGCAGAGTGGGATGGTACAAACATAGGTGGAGCATTTCTAACGAACCAGGTGCCAAAGACACAGGAATAAGATAGATTTCCTGCCTTCAAGGGACTGTTTAGATCTGAGAGTTTGAAAAGAAAAATTTACAATCCAAATGTGGTAAATTTCATGTCAAAGAAATAGGGCTCTAAGGGATAATTTTAAAGAGAACCGTAATCTGGACTATGCTATATCAAAGTTTATTTCCCAGAAGTGATGTCTGACGAGACCCTAAAGGACCATTAAGAATTAGCCACACAAAGGGGGGCAAGGAATGGCAGAGGGGTTGTATTTAGACAAAGGAAACAGCACATGCCCAGTGTGATAGTTTAAGAGAACAGGCTCACTAAAGAAATGGAGAATTGTCACATTCCACTAGGCAAAAAACAAGTGAGGAGAGCGAGGCATAAAGGGAGAAGGAGAGACTTCAGCCGTAGTCAGGATGAGCTTAAATTCCTGTTGAAACCCAGGGTGGAGATGCAAGCCTGTAATCCCAGGACTCTGGAGACTGAGGCAGGAGTTTCCCTGGGAGTTCAAGGATAGTCTGAGCTACATAGACCAAGGCTTGCCTGAACTGTAAAAAGAGACCCTCTCTCAAACAGGCAGGATGCTCAGGTGATGTCTAGGTAGAATTGGTAGGTAAGGGGAGATATCTTATGAGAGTTATAAATCATAATGAAACTAGGGGATAGATAGCTTGCACATATGGGACATAAGAGCAGGCTTTGAGGGACAGAGGGGAAAACTGTAAATAAACTGAGGAATGGACAGAGAAAGTGAAAGAAATCTAGCAAAAAGAAACGCCACAAAAACTTGGAAGGGAGGAATTTTAGAAAGAGGAAGTAGTCAGTAATGGCAACTGCTACAACTTGTTTGAGACACTCAACAGAGGAATTTCTTCCCTTCCTTGGAGACTGTATCCAGGAAGCCCATGTGTATCTTGCTAGACAACTTCTTTGAAAGTGAAAATGTCCCTGCGATGATTTGAGCATGATAGTTCATTTAAGGCAAAGGACTTACCCAGCATCATATATCTGAGTAACAGATCTCTGACTTAGCCCAATCTTAAGTCAGATGCTTTGCAGGAAAGACACTGGTGAGATTAGATTCAGGAAGCCAGTTATTCAGAGGCAACATCTGCCAATATTTTCAGTACGACTGGGTAGAGTGAATAGGGTCCTGGATGTCACTTTGAGGAAGAAGGCTGTAACAGTATAAAAAACAATATGACCATTAAACTTTCAGCCTTATTCTAAAAAAATACTTGGGGAAGTTAGAACCTTGATGCAACAACATCAACTAGAGTTTCATTTTACCTTGTCTCCTGCACCTCTACCATGTACAGCAAGTAGAAAGGACAGTAGGAGACTATAAGCCAAGATCAGGATTTGGGGGCTGGTGAAGCACCGGGGCTGGCCATGTTTGGTCACATTTTGAGGGGTAATTGAAGGAGCAGGGAGGGCCATTCATTTAAAAATAATTGTTACCACTCACAGAGTCCCTACTTATATCAAATATTATTATTATTATTATTATTATTACTTTTCTTTTTTGAGACAAGATCTCACTATGTAGCCCAGGCTGGCCTCGAACTCACAGCAGTCCTCCTGCTTCAGCCTCCCAAGTGCTGGGATTGTAGAAGTATACCACCATGCCTAGCCTATAATACATATATTAATACAGTCTTATGTACTCCTTGCCCAAGATACCATGGCTGGATGAAAGTAGATTTTGCAGGCAATGAATGTTCATTGTAGATAATATGAAGAAGGAGAAGAAAATATAAGTGATCTATAATTCATTATCCAGTGCTCACTTGTGCCTCTTGATGTCATAGTCTTTTTATTGTGTCGTGTTTAGCTATTGCTTCTTTTCCCTGCAACTTCTTGCTTCTCTTTCTTCCCCATCTTTGCTTGCCTCACACCTAAAAGACTGGGACATCTGCCAGGCCCGGGCAGCACTCCCAGGAGTGACTGAGGGTGTGGCCTGCTGTCAGACCACAGTGCCCTGCACTTCTCCTTTTTCTCCCCCACACATCCCTCCACCCCTACTTGGGCACTCTTGAACTTGTATCCTCGGGAGATCCTTTTAACGAAGGAGCATACTAGCTCCTGAAAATGCTCCCTGTGGGGATGTCCTCCAGCCTGGCCTTGTTTAACTATTAATTCTCTCCCACCCAGATCCCTCTCTTCCTGCTCCCCACAAGTAAAGTAAAAGTGAATGTCTTCATGCTGCTTATAGCAACATCAAATTTATTTAACACTTCTGTGAAAACTTATTTTTGTGTTTGAAAGGTTATATTTAATTGTGTTTCTGTATTCATAATATATGAACATATTATTTTACATATATGAATATGTATTAAATAAATATATATTTATTGTAAAAAGAAAAACAAGTGCAATAATCCATTGTTCAAAGATAACCTGTGAGCCAGGTGTTGGTGGCACATGCCTGTAATCCTCAGAAGGCTGAGGCAGGAGGATTGAAAAAGGCTAGCTCAGGCTGTATAGCTTGCTTGAGGCCAGCCCTGGGTGACCTAAAGACCTCAAGGTCAGGTTAGACTAGATATTGGAAGCCTGTCTCTGAAAAAAAAAAAAAAAAACACACAGTAAGGCATAATGGTGCACACCTGTAATCCCAGAATTTAGGGAGGCTGAGACAGGTGTATTGTCATGAGTTTGAGGTCCGCCTGGGCTACATAGCTAGATCTTGTCTCAAAAAACCAAACCAAACCAAAAAATAAAACAGGTAACGTGTGAACTTCTAGACTCCATTTCTGTCTCTCCCCCCCCCCACTATATATATACATATGGGATCCTGCTGACTTGTTTTATTTTTTCATTCAAAAATATCTTATAATCATCTGTCCATGTCAACAAATATATTTGATCCATATAATACACATTTGAGAAAAGTACTGTCCAGTGACCCAGACAAAACCCTACTACTCCTGTGTGGCATGGCAGGGCAGGTGTAGCCAGGCTAGGGTGACTCGCCAGCCTGGGGCATGAAGCAGTAGGGCCAAGAATGCTTCTGGCTTGAAGCCCCAGCTTTTGGGGCTGCTTTTTGAAATGGGGAGGGGTGTTACTGTGTTGTCAGTCTGGTCTTGGGCTGGACTTCAGTGATGTTTCCTGCCTCAGCCTTCCAAATTGCTGGGATTATGGGAGCAAATCACCACACCCATTGAAACAAAACCTTTTTTCATTCTCAACGAAAACTTTAATGCTACTACTATCTCTGATCCCATCCTTCCTTCCTTCCCTTCTTCAATGAATCATGTTGTAAGCTACAATTTAAACACTGGAATGAAGCAGATGTTCTATAACTTTGCTTTCTAAACCCTGCTTGATGAAGTGGCTCTCAGTGTATTCAGAAGAGTAATAGGGTGAGAGACTTAATTCCCAATATAGCTGCTAATCCCGTCTAATTCCCTGAAGTCTTTCAGTCCTGGGTTGTTTGTCCTTTCTTTCTTAATTGAAAGAGCGGGGAGCCACGCACTGCAGGAATGGAGAGTAAGAAGGTACCGCAGATCAGCTTGCTGGAAAGGTGCTGTTCAGTGTAGTGAGTAGGTCTTTCAAAGCATAAGACATTTAATTTCACGTCAACAAGCATGTTTCCTCTATTATTCTCCTGCAGTAGGGACAATTTCCAGGTGGTTTTCTACCTTGTATGTATAGTTTCCACTTTCACCCAGGCGAAAGTGAACTCTCAGATATGTAAGTATGCAAACTTTGAAAAAGAGGCTGTGTGGTGGCTGTGTTTTGTATGTTTTTCAACCAAAAGATCTGTAAAATAGTAACTAAGAATTGAGACATAAACATTTAGAGAGGAGAAAGTGAAAAAATTTAAATTTTTATGTAAAAATAAACTGGGAGAACTAAGGGTGTTGTCAGTGGTAGAGCAATTTGGTAACATGTCCAAGGCCTTGGCTGGTTCAATCCTTAGCACCAAAAAAAAAATTTTTTTTAAGTTTATATTCATGGAAATTATGTTAGATATAATTAAATATCATTTATGCAAATACTTATAAAATCCCAGTGACTTCTTTAGATTTCTACAAATGTTTCAGTCCTTGATGCAACTACCCATAATTAGGGATATTGTATATCCTCTTTGTCTTATTTTTAAAAGAAAAAAAAAACAGAATTCATCACATAGGGGTTTTTTGGCATGATTTAATGAACTTACTGGAACACAGCTGCAGTATTTAAAGTACCTGGTATTTTGATTTTTCTTTCTTTCCCATGAATCTGGACAAAAACCTCTCATCTCCAGTGTGACTAGCATGCGATCTGGGCTGTTCTTTCTTCTCATTTTGTCCTTATAAGGCTATCCTGTTTTATCACTTCCTGCCTCAGCTCCTGACTTTTTCTCTCTTCCCCTCTCCCTGTCCTGGGGTGAATGCTTGCTCCATGTGGCAGGGCTATAACTGTTCACAGCTGTCTGAAGCAACTTTCATTTTACAAAGAACATGTTTGACTGTTTCAGCAGGCAAGTCATAACTGGCACTGACTTCTTGTTCTTCTAGAACACTGAAAATCTCCCCCAGCACTTTAGAAGGGGAGCCCTGACTGTGTTAAAGAAGAAGTGGGAGAACCCAGTGCCGGGAGCAGAGTTGCACACAGACCCAGTGCGAAACAGCAGCTCTGAGATTAGGCACAGAGTCGACCGTCCTCCTGCTGAGGTGACAAGCAGCTCCACTTCTGGAGCTGGAACTGACCAGGACGGACAGAGCCAGCCCAGACCTAGACTTGGGTCACGCCCTGAACCCCGTATTCAGCGTCGGTATCATCCTCAGGACAGTGAAGATCTGAAAGACCACAACATAACTGAAAGTGACAACATGGAAAATTGTCTGGGAGATTCCAGACATGAAGTTGAGAAATCTGAAATCAACGAAAACGCAGAAGCTTCGAGCAAAATAGAGAAATATAGTGTCCCACTGAACAGGCTTAAGATGATGTTTGAAAAAGGTGAACCAACTCAAACCAAGGTAAGAACTGGGCAGGTTTAAAAATTGAAAAGGTCATTTAATGTACTAAACAAAGCTATTTTTCTAATCTGGGGAATTGGAGTACAGTTAAATATGTGGTTCATATATATATATATGTCTTTTGATTCAAGTTCGTTGAGTTAATAGGAAGTCTCGAATTATTTACATAGATATGGTACTAAAATTTGTAAAGTCTCTGACCCAATTTCAAGTTAAATCCCTACTGGGATTCAGGTTTATATCTAGAAATAAAGAGTTGGACCCCGATTGGATTATGTGTTTTTCTATACTTGCTCTTTTAGTTTGTCTTCCTGTGCTTTTGTCCCTCGTAGCCTTGGGGGTGGAATTACTGCTGAATTGCTCTCTGCCTGGACACAGCTGCAGGAGGGGTGTTAAGGCCAGAGTTTAACATCAAGACTGAGGCTTAGTTGTCTATTTGCTAGCTGAATCCCATCTCTTCTTCTCAACTTCCTCATCTGTGCCTTCCAACAAATGTTTTCTATCAGCTAAAATCCCCTCCTAGGGAAAAAAAAAAAAAATCAATGGAGATAGCTAGACTAGCTGTTGCTTTCAGGAGTTTTGACTTGCAAATGCACAGGGTTGCATTTTCCTAAACTGCTAATGAAATTTGATCCTTCATGTGGATCGCAGACTGAGTCCCCAGAGGGAATTACTTAACTAGAAAATGAGTTACATATGCCGGAGATTTATAACACAATCCAGGGGCTGCAACACTGGTCAATTTTTCCAGTTTTCTCATACTTTCCTGCATATCTGGCTTTGTACGTAGGGTTAGTTTGGTACAGCAGTCATAATGAAATAAACAGATCTGATGGGCAGCAAAACCATCATTTACTGTAGATTCCATTTGTATGGGAAAGCTGTTCTTTTTTGTTTTGTTTTTTGTTTTTTTTTTTTTAAGCTACGTATTTGGCCCAGATTCCTTTTGGGAAGCAATAGTATGAAGCATTCTCTCTGATATAAAAGCTAGATTACTCATTGTATAGACCATAGCCCTCGGCTGCAGTATGTTCAGTGTGGTTTTGTCAGTTCTTTCCTGTGACTTGCTGTGCCTGCTGTTTTCTTGCCTAGGAAAATGCTTGTGTGTTTGGGGATCATCTATTTCAAGGCCTAGGAAGAATTTTCAAAGGTTTGTAAAGCTAGAACTCTTTTTTCAAGCATGAGCTTTAAGCTCTGCCTTAACAGTGAAGCCAGTTGGCAAGAGATGTAGCCACAAAGCAGTTTTATGACTTTTATTAAATTCTTTTCCCACCTAGTTTTTGGTCTCTTCTGCCTGCCAATTCGTCCTTTCTTCTTTATGGCCTCAAAAAAAATTTAAATGGAAAAAAACTGCTCTAGAAATCCTAAACAGAGAGAAAGGGGCTTTGTCGTGATGCAGACACTGTCACAAGTCTCCCATCACGGACCTTGCTAGAGGGAACACAGCTGACATCCTGCCAGCGCACACAGTGTGGAGTCGGTGCAGAACGGAGCATGCATGTCAGAACCGGCCCAGGGTAGGAAATGACTGGGATGGCAGGGAGCAGAAATGCTGATTATGTGTAAGGATCCGGTGAAACACTTTTTTCTCATAAATGTCTAGTGAGAGATGGGTCCGGGCAAGCCCATTTCCTGTATATCTGGTCAGAGTGATAAAACTGTATAAAGATCTTACTAGATCACTGATGGCACTGGGCAACCTGGTGACCAAGAAAGATGAAAGTGTTTTGATATTCACCACGGCTTTTTTAGCTTTGGATATTAGGATATATGCCCATTAAATTTCCTGATTAATTTGTCCTTTGTCACTTAATTGATGGTTTATGAAATGGAAAGTATAGCTATCCTTAGTTTTATAGTTGTTTCAAAAACTTAATTTTCCATGTTGGAAATAACCAGAATTACTTTTAAAAGTAAAAGTCCAACATTTCAATCAGTGTTAAGAAAAGTTTTGCTGGGGCCAGGGAGATGGCTCAGTGGAATAAGAGCTTCCCTGGCAAGTGCAAGGGCCTAAATTCAATCCCTGGTTCCGCAAAAAGAAAAAAAAAAAAAAAGAAAAGAAAAGAAAGAAAGAGAAAAGAAAAGTTTTGTCTACTTTAGGTTAGGAAATAAGTAATCAAGCTTGAAACCAGGTTATAGTTATTATTAATATAATTTCAGCTTTAACATGGATGAGGCTTTAATCAGAAGGTTATATATTGGATCTTCAGAATAATATTCAGAGAAGTATGGTGGGAACAATAGAAATCCTCTCAGGAGCAAGATTATACAAGTAAGAATGTGTATTTCAGAGCTAAGAAACTAGTATTTTGGTTTGACGAATGAATACATTAGGTAGAAATTGTATGACTCTTTGGTTCTGTAATTGAATTTTGTTTTATTTTTTAAGACAGGATCTTGCTATGTAGTTCAAGCTGTCCTTGAACTCACTACGTAGCCCAGGCTAGCCTTGAATTTGTTTTTATTGTCCTGCCTCAGCCTCCTGAGTATCATGATTACAGACATACATCACCATACCCAGCTTCATAATTGAATTTAAGAGAATTGTACTGCACCTCAACTAACCAGCTGAATAGGGTCAAGAAGTACATGGATAGTGGAAAAAAATAGTCTAATGTGTAGTCCTCGATATTTTTCTCATAATTCTTTATAGAAGGTGACATTAACTGGCTTCAGTTCCACTTTTCTTAGTCTCTTTTGCTTCCTTTTGTCTGAGATTGATATACAGGAAATGTTGGATATCAAAAAGAATCAATTCTGAGCAAAAGGGGAGGTTAAGAGTAGGAAAATTTATTGGCAAAAAGGAATGGGGAATAGATATGGCTCCTGAGAGACAGGAGGGGTCATGAGTTGTCAATGATTCTACCTCTTAAAGGAAGTTTTATAGGGCAAAATCATGAGGTGGGTACAACATGGGACAAGATTATGATCAATAAGATTGCAAGTATAGTCGCTTAGGTAATATTGAGCTCATGGTAGCAGGGGTACATCGGTGACATCACTAACCTGGATCAATAATAATCTACATTCTGTCTTATGCTTTTAGTCTTTGTCTTACTAGTGGGAGAGGATGGTCCACCCCTAGTGAGATAGGGTGATACCCATAATCCCAAGCCTCGTTCATCCCTTAGGGAAGCACATAAAACTCCACAGTGACTTTAACCTTTAGATATGCCTCCAGCCACAGCACAGATGCGCTCCTCTCCAGCCCTGACCCCCTTGGGGGTCCAGCCCTGTCTGGTTGCCTAAAATATTTCTACCTGATTTAGTCATCTATGATAAGATGGCTTCTTACCTTGTCCCCTTCGCTTCAGGGTCACTTTGCCTTCCTGTCTTCTCTTTCCTTGTATGGTTTTATCTGCAAGCTAAATCTCAAATCCAGATTCTAATCCTGAACTCTTAACCCACGCTTCCGCCCCAGCCAAATTATTTGCCAGCTCAGACATCTCTTTGTTAATATTGGTTAGGCTCTCTGAGTCAAGAAGGCTAAAGAACCCACCATCTTTCTAACAAAAGCTGCTGTGCCTCTGGTGTCCCTGAAAACATCACCATTTACGCAGTTTCCTGAGATATAAAATCACTAAACCAGTTGCTCCTCTGCCTTCTTCGACCACCCCTCCCCACCCCCAGTAGTTTCATTTTCTAAACCCTCCAAACTTGCCCCACATATGGGCTGTTCCTCAGGTCCCCTCCATGTACAAGGTTTAGACTTATTACATCTTCCCTACAGTATTACACCTCCCCCATCTCATTTCTTTCTTCCCATCCATCCTCACAGTTGCTATTTCTTTTCTTTCTTTCTATTTATTTATTTGGGGTTTTTTGAGACAGGGTCTCATGCTATAGCCCAGGCTGGCTTGAACCCACGATGATCATGATGCTCCAAACCCCTGGTGATCCTCCTGCCTCTACCGCCCAAGTGCTGGGATTGTAGGCATGTACTACCAGGCTTGGCTTATTTCTTTAAAAGTAGTTTAAATTATATTACTGCCTTGATCAGAAACATTCAGTGCCTCAAGATTAATCCACGTTTACTGTTCAGGTCTTCCACATGAACTCAGTTTACCTTTCTTTTCACATAGATAATGTTATAATCAAACTGTGGATTATTTCTTGTTCTCTAAACTTCATGTCCTTCAAGGTCTGTCAAGACTGTAAAGCCAGCCAGGTGTGGTGGTGGATGTCTGTAATCCCACTACTCTGGGAGGCTGAGGCAAGAGGATATCAAGTTTGAGCCCCACTTGGGCAGTTTAGTGACCTAGCAAGACCTCTGTGCCTAAATAAAACTTTTTAAAAAATTTAGAAAGGGACTAAGGGTGTAGCTCAGTGTAATAACTCTGTGTTCATTCCCCAAGTCCTGGGGGTATAAGAGACTTGGAAGCAAGACCTTCAGCTTCTCCCATAGACCCATAGATTTTTTTCCTTTTACTTTGGGGCTCTTAAATCTTGAATTTATATTTATCACAGTCTTTTTTGGGAGGATACTGGAGGTTGAAATGAAGGGCTCGCACATGTAATCCTTTCCCTTTTACTAGGAATTAGAAACACCCCACTCAGCTAAACCTGAATAACCCATCTATTAACCAAATATAACAAATAAGTGATGAATAACCTTTGATTGATTTTCACTATATATTGAGTTCTGAGTTTTCTTTATTTTAAATAAGAGCCAGTGATCTATAATGATCACTAGGGAAAAGAAATGACATGGGGGAGCCAGGGAGATGGCTCAGTGGAATAAGCACTTCCCTGGCAAGCGCAAGGGCCTGAGTTCAATCCCTGGTTAAATGACATGGGGACATGTGCTGAATATTAGGAATTAGCATTCCTAAGCAGGCGCAGTGGCTCATAGCTGTAATTCTAGCCCTCAAGGGGCAGAGGCAGGAGGGTGGCAGAGTTGAAGTCCAGCCTGAACTACATAGTAAAACCCTGCCTAAAAAAAAAAAAAAAAAGAATAAATAAAATACACAAGGAGTTAGTACACCTAATTTCCTACAGAG